AGATTCTAACCGGTGAATTGGTTGGTATTCGTTGTCGTTATTCTAGTGTTTTAAAAGGAGAACGACACGCTGTCTTTGAAAATTCTCACCCAAACCAATGATGACAATAGCAAGCACAACGCGCCACAAATAGTGGATTTTTCTTTCCCTGGGAATTATTAAATTAAATTAACATGGAATATTTTGCATTTTCTCCAACACATTTTAAATTTGCTACTATTTACAAGAAATTTTGTTTTTCTTGTGATTATAAAACCTATGTAAGCTGTACATAACTTTCCAAGCATTTTCCAAAAACAGGGAAATTTGATTACCGAAAACGACCGCCCCATTTATTGTGAAAATCTATTCCGCTAGTTTTTCGCAAAAATCCTGGTGGACAAATTTTTTCCGCAGCTGGAATAGTAAATCCGAGTGGATTGTTCGTCACCGAATTAAAACGCTGCATGAGTGTTACCTATTGTTGGGGTCGACAGTGAGAGTTTTGTGGAAAGCTGATATTTCCAAAATGTGCCGAATCTTTTTCAGCTACAACAACTGAAAACGGTTTGTTTTACGTTTTCTATTATTTGATTTTCGATTTCCCAAATTTGGATCCCACAACGGACAATCACGTTTGCTGATAAGGAAAGTTTCTCAGTCGACTTATCGCTATCTGAATAGTGAAATTGGATGGTAATGGAGGGGTCACTTAGTTCCTCTTAGTAGATATTTTGCAAGTGTCTTGTAAGTTAGCTAGTTTTACGTTATTCTCCGCGTTTAACTGCTGCATAGTTGAGAAAAGATAAAGTAACTGCCCACAATTTAGGAGCCCAAGAACGCCTCTGTTTAGCGGTATTTTTTGACCGATGTCAAAACTCTAGCAGTTAACTGCGCTAGGTCATAGCATTGCGCATTGCTTAGAATAACTCCGTTTCTTCAAAATTCATTCAACAAAGTATCTAAGTATTTCGTCAGGTAGATAATACATATAACGAACAAGGAAGAATAAATAGTTAAAAAATAGCCAAGTGGAAGACTAATTATTATAATTGGGCGCACATCATGTAAAGCTGTGAATGTATTAGTATATTGTGTTTTTTGATATTTAGTTTTTAATGGAGAATCCATAGCAAGTAAGTGAATTTGATGAGTTTCATCGCGAGAGTATGTGGTGGTTTATTTCATTGTAAAAGCATGTGTTCTCATACTTTACTGGTAAATTTCCACCTCCATATGAAAAGAGTGGAACAAAGGTGAGCCTTGTAATTAGTTTAATAATGTGAGTAACTTGCCCAGTTACGACGCAACACCACGTTGTTTCGTCTCTTTCTGCATTTGTGCATATGTACAAAGGCAAAGCATTTTGGTGAAGGCGTACTTTTCGACTTACAGAATACAATGACCTTATACCGCTGAGTAAGTTTGAATTAAATTAAGTTGCTTAACTGAGGGAAACTATTGATGCACAGCACAAAGCCGCTTCGTAATTTCGAGCTTTCGAATCAATACTGTATGCTGCTTTTCTTTGTTTTAATTTGTACTTGGTTCGGGAACCCGCGCAGACCTCCAGTTCGTCCCTCTAACCTATAGAGTATTGCTCGACATTTCGGTATATATCTAGTAAATCTGACCTAACGTTGCGTTCACAGGTCAAGTTGCGGTAATCGGTCGTTAAACATTTACTGAATAAAAACCGACACATTTTTTTATCCTTCGAGGTCCATATGCAAGGTTATATTAAGTGCCGAATTTGTTAAATCACGGTCCACGCTACATCAAATTTGGAAGAGCTTGTGTTATCTTTTTTCTAGGTAATACTGGTCATAACACTTTTACGCCTTTTCGCTAATATCCTTAAGCTATACATAAAATCAAAGCTCATAAAACATGCTCCTCGGTGAACCAAAAATAATAGAAACAGCATGTTGTGACATGTGTGCACATTTTTGGTTAGCGGTAGTTCAGCACATTTGGAGATGTTCGCATGTCTATTGTGTTCATCGATTAATAATACACCAAAGTTGCTAGCTGGTTGTTTCGCACTTTATGCTTAGTCTAATGAAAATTTTAACCTGTCAACAAACATGCACTCATCAGTCGCACCGATAGATGCTACTTCTTTAAGTTGTAGCACATACCTACGTGTTTGGAAACCTTATGTTTGTGCCACTTTTAGATGCAAAAACCAGATTGAGGAAATATCGGTTACGGTGCTGAGTTGTGCGGAAATGTTGAAGCCAATCATTGTTTATTTTGTTGTTCCCAACGGAATGTCTACCTTTTCTAACACATCAAGATTTGCAGGTTTGCATCCAACACGTCAACCTAGTACCTTTGGCCAATGAGTGACATGCCCGCTAGAAGCTATTGGATTTAACCGCATTGTTCATTAGTTGACTAGTCTGTTTTTCGACACGGTAAGCTTCACCTCTTCACAGGTATGACACAGGCACAAGAAATTGTTTATGAATACAGGGTTAAACTTTTATGCGTCGACTGCAGTCTTAAAAGAGCATCAGTGGGCACTGGGCGCAAGCCTCATTTCACTAAAGTCATCATTCCCTTGGTTGTATGCAAAATTTACATTCCGTACACCATCTTCTAGCATGCCTTACAACCCAGAAGGGGACAGTATATAATCCTCAAGTTTTATGTTTGTGTTTTATAATACACTGACATGTTTGCTTGTTAAACGCCTAAATCAGGAAAGCAAAACTAGCAGCATGATCTTTTAGGGCCAATAGACCTGAGGCGAAACTAAATTTATGTATCCTTTAACCGACTAGTGATAGAAATACAGCTTTAAGATAAAATTACATTTGTTTCTTACCGTACTAAACCCCACTAATTAAAGCTAGTAATCATAACGCCTCGAAATACTATTGACTGAAGCAGCAATCCAAGTGATTTTCACTGTGCGCAACTTTTTACCGACAGCAGTGGAATCCAAACGCGTTCTACGCTTTTGCGATAAAAACAGGCCCACGTAAAATATGCCTGACTGTGCGCAGCATTAAATGCCTTGGGAGCCATAATAAGAAAATATTTCTTCCCACGGTTTCAGTGGAAATTTGTTTGGGCATAGGTGAGTGAATTCGGCTGTTTGCTACACTACTCAACTATTAATGAGCAGAATCATAGGAGTTTTGCAGTTTGGAGCTTCAATGAGAGTAATGCTTCGCTAGTTGTATTTGAAACATGGTCATCCGGACAATATGGTGCTTCGTGGTGAAAGGAAGAAAGCCTTCGCTGCGGAGTTATCTATTAAAAAACGCCAACTGAAAAGTTACAGACTATTGGGCAGGGAAGCAAAACTCTCATATGCATCGTGCTTACAAAAACCGAATATCCATCTTCTCCTTGAACGCGCATTCCTAAACTTTCCTGGATATTCACTGATTGTTGCTCAAATGCAAGCAAATGCGACTTCATAAATTCCGTAATGGGTCTCACTTTTAAAGAGACACGAAGCGGATTTACGAGAAAACATACTACCCGGACGCTCCATCAGTAGTATCCAGCGTTACAATAGTAGTCCGAGTGGTTTTCAAAGGTGCTAGTTTAAAAACAGGCTTATTCTGCACAAAGGGATTTTGCAAAATGATACATATATATATATATATATATACATATATGTATATATATCCCTGTACATACCATTCTATCAGGGAGCTGGTAATTATTTGACAGATCTTATGAGACATTGTTCGCACCAATCACCCTTGTTGTAGCTATCGAGATAGGATTGGTCCACCGGGAACTGAATTTAGCTGCACGTCTCAAGTACGCGTTTTTCGAAACAGAACGCACAGAACTGAACCATGTTAAATCCCTTAATACACTAGCAGTAAAACCGATTCAGGATATGGATTAGAGATCCTGAGCAGGTAGTTGATTGTGGGGAAAATTAGGTGCCTTCGCATAACAGGAAGGCCAGTGGTTATAAAGACTCGGATGGTTGAAAGCCTTTCTGTCACTGAAGTGTCTGACACAATCGACTTCAAACCAACCCAACGTATTAGATTGGTGTTGCACTGTGGTTTGGTCACTTGGTTCCCTAAACATATAACGGTGTAATTAATTACTTTTCCAATGGACAACTCAAAATATCGAAAATTGCGACAAACATCTGCTTTTATTGCCACATCATTCCGGTGCGTCAGTAGATCATAATCACCTTGAAACATTCCCACTAGGAGACTTCCTATCGTGTGAAATGAACAATACGCAGACGCTTGTCAGTGTATTATCCACTCAGAAACGTATTTCTCAAAGAGGAAGAGGTCTCAAATACATCCGATGTTCTAGCCTTGGGTAACACGTGCGCGCTCTCCCATTGGTTGACGTACGTTCCGAATGTGTGCTTCGTGGTACTAGCTGGTTCAGTAAGCAGTGAGCCTGTCAGCTACTAAAACCTGTATAAATTATTTCAATGTTCAAACCAAGCTATCCAACATCCCTTTAACCATACAAAGAGCCTGAATACCTGACTTAATCGCTAAATTCAGCTGGGTAGTTCATTGAAGGCTTCGTCAGTTTCTATATTTTAAACTTTAATCGCACCACGAATCTGTGGCGTGCTTATATCAAGCGTCTGTACCCATGTAATTGTGCACTTTCACTTATCGCCACCTAACAGATCTTTCGGTTGGCTGTTTCATCATTTCAGTGAAGACAATCTGTCCTGGGAAACCGAGAGGCTGGATGTTTCATATAGATTTGAGTTAATATTTTGCCTTAGCACAGAAGGGTAAAGATCACAAGGTACCCAACGTCACTGCTTGGTTATGCAAAAGAGGACACGGCGTAGGCCTGCATATCTAGATGCCTAGACTAGCTACATTGCTGAACGTCGTCTATGGAACCTGAAGTACCTAGTAAGATATTTTCGACGTTGAACGACAACCTTCAAATGCAACCAAATTCCACTGTCATCTCGACAAATCACTCATTTCCATAACAGTCTGGCTTTTCACAAGTGACTCAAATGAATTTCTCCGTGAGAGTTGATGACTCACCATCACACCGTACTTCATCACGTGACTACATTCTGTCCGCTTTTTCACCTCCTCGTACTGTTGATCCAGTGTACGCATTTTCAATTCTTTCTGCAGGCGGGCATGGAATAATGACAAAGGTAGGCTATGTGAAGCAGACGGATATCCTTACGCGACGTTAACATGGATCCAATTTAGGCAAAACTAGTGGAACCACTTGAGTTACGACAAGCGGGTTGTGGAACGACACATACCACTGATAAACCAGTGATCACTCCACTGTTCAAGGACACCGTACAGATTCAACACAACATTTTCATGGGGTTCTTAGTTCCCTTCTGCAGTGCCAAGTTCTGCTCACCTCTAGGTTTATGACAATTTAACTGGGCACGAATTACAACACTCCTCTCAGCTGCAACCGAAATACGAAACGACGCATAATACTGATGAATCAGAGAGCAGTCCGCTGTACCAAGGCCATATACACATACACATGTTGAGGATGGGACGCTCTAGGGCGATCACCATCATCGCCATCATCGCCATCATCATCAACACTACCGTCAACCGCGGTCTTCAACTCTGACGCCTCCGTGCGTGCATTCAAAATTCATTTGAAATCCTATTTAAATGAAGAGAATCCAAATGGGTGGGAAACGACTTGGCACTGAGCTACGACAATAATTCCGATACACCTGCAGCCCCAGACACTCACTCAGTTGATCTAATGGGAGAATGACAACAACAGCGCTAACATTGATAGGAAGCCCAACGTTGCAGCGTTTTAACCAGTGACATTGGGAATCATGCGACCTCCGTATTAGAGCGCGTGTTATACTTATAGCACTCAGACTTTCGATATTCTCATTCATATCTCTCTGCGAGGTCGGAGGGGTAACAGATCGGAAGGTCAGTGAGAAATGTTTGATATTCAACTAATGATTTCATTATTTTGGGTCGCCGGACAGTCATTACTGCCGCGTTTCCAAAAATTTTCTTCATGTTTGAAAACGAAGTTGGCGTTGGCGGTGGTGCTGGCGAAGGCAGTGGGAGTGACAGTGATGGTTGCGATGGTGACGGTGGCGGTGAATAATCATTTGCGGCTTATCTGCAACGATTTTGACAAAACTCACGTATTCCGAATACGTAATCCAGGCATACAATTATTCGGTCGAAAGACATGAAGTGACTTGCTTGTCATTACAAAAGACAGCCCTGCTTTTTTGCTTTATTTGGCTGAGGTTGTCACATAGACTGAAAATTTTGGGCGTTCAGACAAAAGAACAAATGAAACACTATTAAAAAGTGTGAAATAGTCAGTTATATCACCGACGAAATGACACTGACTCGCAGAACTCTTGACGCTACAAGCATTCGGAAACCAACACACTAATCAGTGGTTCGCTGAAAAATCTTTAACAGAACAGCATGTTTTTTCAAGAATTTTGGGTCAATAAGCAAGGCGCAGTCCTCGAACTTGCTTCAAGCATAATCAATCCTTGGAATCAATTCAGGCCGTCTAAATGACATCAGTATGTAGACGTATAATATGTCTATTTCTGGTAAAACCACATCGAACGACACCAATGTCGAGAACGACACTTGTATTATACCGGTTGTGTGATCCGTGAAAGAGTACTTATTATAAACGACCCAAGATCCACTCATAATTAGCAATACCGTATCCATCTGGGAATGGCGTTTGCTGCAGGGGGAACCCAAATGTCACAGGTGTTTCACCGATATTGCAGTGACCCCTTCTTACAAGCCGAATAAGTTCAGCAAGAGTGGTGACATTAATTGATGAAGGTTGCACGTTATTCGCTATCCGGCCGGAAGCTTCTTGTAGATGGCTGGGGACTGTCTTCATTCAAGGATCACAAGAGGACATAAATGAACCCTGCTTGCTACTGCATTTCGTTGTACTTGCGCGTGTGGTATTTTGCCATATGTGAGGTTAAATTCTGGATGATATTTCACATGATCCTCACGAGTGCCAGCCACAAACGTTACGCTACTTCCCTCACGCATCTGAAGGATGAAGGCTGTGGAACATAGAGCACGAGTAACAAGCATCCATATACAACACCAATTGGTTATACTTTTTGTTTGAATACATTTTGGCGAGGATTTTGTTCAATTGCGTGGCAGTGAGCTGTAGCAAAGCAAAAATAAAAAAGAAAGTTTGCATTAAATTGGACGATTATAGCTGCAAGAGTACCGAGATTTTGGAGATACTTTACACCAGAATCAGTTGAAGTACTACGTTTGAATGTGTTTTCCTCAGTCTCCCTGAAGATATAGCCTATTACCCTGTTGATTGTCGTTGTTTTATTGGATAAACAGTGACCCCGTGTCCTCTGTAGTTTCAGCCAGTTATCCGGGTTGCATTCAGTCAGTCCCACTTGGATTGTGCTAGCAAGAACCAATATCGGAATTATTAAGCTCGTAATCGAAAATTCGAAATAACGAGTTGTCGGTTTGTACGATTGATTCACTTATCACTCCGATTGTCAATTTCATGACAGTTTTTATCCATTTCCACATCATATTCGCCGTGGTGGGTTTAAATACGTTTGGTTGCATTTTAGGTATGGCTACACCGATCAAAAGCCACTTGAGTATGCTCAGGACAAAAGGTCCCTATAAGGGTGCATTTATCCTTGATTTAAGGAATCGCAGCAAAAGTCATGTACTGCTCATTGAGTAGTCAAACGCCGCCGTGTATGGTAAGCCAATCTGTGGAGGGAATTCTAGCCCTAATCACATTTGGTGCATATTTAGGTTGATTTCCATTCAACTGAAGTATCCCAAATCCCATCTCACTACTAACACACAGTAATTAGTACTGAACGGTGAATTCACACGGTTAATGAATTTGCTATATATGTTTTTACCCCATGAATAATTCAGCAGTGATGTGGTTTCATTGACTGAAGGATGAACGACGTTATAGCTTGACCAGCTGCGGATAAATCGGGCTTTTGGTTGCGCCCCTTTGCCAAACAGTTCAATTTTGCAGCTGTAAAGCGCACCACAGATGATTACAAATGAGGATGGAACAGTTATACATTGATTGCCGGCTTTTCACCACAGAGGGCATTCTCATTCATAATGTACGAGGGCCAATTCATAGTCGCATAGCTTCGTGCTGTCTCTCTAGAATGAAATAGGGCATCTAGTCTTCGTATCATCTACGCCGCAGGAGTGACCGTATGCGACCAGCTTTCTTGGTTATCGTACTTACGCTTGCTCGACAGTGCAAATGCAGCAACCCCGGTGTATCATCTGTTATGTTGACAATGAAATTCCCCACCTTTGTTATGTCTCCATTTGTATCCCCCGCCCCACTTTTCTTTTTATTGTGAATATATCAGCTGACGTTTGTTTGTGCTTGCCACTTCCCCCACTTGTCCTTGAGGTAATCCGGCCGTTTGCATCCACGCTGAGTGTCTGTTTTGGACGCGTATCTACTGTCAAGGTTTGTGTAGTTTGCCAATTTCTCTTACACTAGTAGTACCGTACAGAAATCCAGCTTCGACTTTGTTTAGCCTACCCGGAATTTCTGACATTATGCGTCACTCGAAGATACCGTTTGCTCATTGCAGTACTCGATGAAGTCTGGGAAACACTGGCCTCAAAGGAACAAATAACGGAGTACGGGAATCAATGTCAGAGTGACAAAAAACACTAGAATGTGCTGGTGATATCAGAGGTCCATCTCCAGGGCCAAAACCGGTCGTTTCCGCCACTCGAGTGACAGCCACTATGTACCTACCAGAGGTGGAACTATCATACTTTGATGGTAATCTTTGTCATTACTGGAGGTTTACCCGCCAATTTAAGGTATACATTGAGAGCAAGTTGCAGTACGCCGGTCAGCGGCTCCTTAACCTAATCCACTACTGTCAAGGCGACGCGAATGTGGCCATTGAGGAAGGTGTGATGCTCCCACCGGAAGTAGCATACTCCAAGGCTAGGGAGATTCTACGCAATCTCTTTGATCGGCCTCATATTACCGCTCGCTGTCTACTAGAAAGCCTGTTTCGTTTTGCACAACAGACCACTAGAGCAGCCAAGTCTTTGTCGGACTTGTGCGTAAAAATGCACATTTCAGAAATTGCGCTGACGCAAATGTGTTACGTCTCAGACTTACACTCACTAGGGGTTGTGGAGAGAAGGGTGCTTTCCCGTCCCTCGCCATTGCAGCACAAAGGGGCTAAGGTGGCAGATAACATGTCCGCGAGTGTCCGGGGCCCAACGTCCAAAGGCTTGACAGAGTTCGTGAACACGCGCTCCCGAGTGTTAAGTAGGCTGTTTGGGCACCTGGCTCGAGAGCAAGACGTAAGACGCCCGTCAGTAACGTCGACTTCTGCCAAACAACCAAGCCTGTATACCGGATGGTTCCGCAAGATTTCTAACCAAATGTATTCCAAAGGAAGACGGTCGTCCATGTGCTCACGCATTATGTTCACAACCCCACCCAATTTCCAATTGCCAGCGATTTTTGTCTATGAAAGTTCCTGACAGATGGAAATGCATGGGGAGCATAATGCATGCTTTGCCTGGTTAGGAGACACCCGCATGGCCCATGATTGCAAACCACTAGTTCGATGCGCCCAGCCGGGTTGTGGGGCGACATCATAGTTTGTTACATACATCAGAACCCGGAAAATGAGCCCCGGCGTCCTCACAGCGGAGGTTGGATGCCCTAACTCGAGGTAGTCGGATTCCGGCACGCCCAGGAGTTTTGACAGTCTTCCGATTTTAGATGCTGGGTCCGAAATAACTCTCGTAACGCGGGACCTTTCGGTGAGAAACGGGGTAAGTCTGCTACCCACATCTATGGCCATTGATACAACGCCCAGGATGACAGTCTTCCGATTTTAGATGCTGGGTCCGAAATAACTCTCGTAACGCGGGACCTTTCGGTGAGAAACGGGGTAAGTCAGTCTCCCACATCTATGGCCATTGATACATTGAGTGGTTCTATGGGATGCACATCGGAAGCAAATGACATCAGGCTTTCATCAATGGATGAAAGCTAGTCGACAGATATTGACAAGGCATTCGTCGTTGAGAGCTTACCTATGCGAGCTGTCCCAACTATCAAAGTAGCGACTCGCAAGTGGCCTCACAATAAGGAAATTGCGTTCGACGAACTGACAGAAGACGATTTTGGAATCCATATTGGGTGTGACGTATCCGAATCGCTCTGGGTCTTCGACCTGCACCTGAAGGGCAAAAGACAGCCGTTTTGCTGCCGAAACCTTACTCAGTTGGATACTTCTTGGTTTGATGAGAAACGGACGAAGCAGAAGGTCGTTAGGCATTGTATAACCGGATGCATTCAGGGCATCCATAGGCATTTGCAGCGACTGTACAACTCGGAATTCGCAGTCACTTCAGCACCGAACACTAGTCTCCCTTTAGAGGATCAAAGAGCACGGTTGAAATCGGAGTCTGATGCGGTGCGAGGAAGTAGGCACTATCAGCTGCCGCTCACATGGAAGGATAACACACTTACCGCAACCGATAACTTCCGGGTGGCCAGAAAACGCCAAAATAATCTGGAAATATGACTGTGCAAGGATCGTGTTTTACACAAAAAGTACGATAAGCTGCTTTGCGCATACCTAGGGAAGAGACACATTGAACGGGTGGCAGATTCTCCCACATCGTCATTAAATTCAAAGCAGTGGTACCTCCCACACCATCCGGTTGTTAAACCAAAAAAGCCAGAAAAGAATCGGGTCATATTTGACTGCGCTTCTAAATGTCATGGTGTGTCCCTAAACGATCACCTGTATCAGGGCCCTGAGTTAACCGAAAAACTTGTAAATGTTATGCTAGGTTTTCGTTTGGAACAAGTTGTTGTGGCAGCAGACATCGAAAAGTATCCCTACAGGTCAAGTTTGACCCCTGCAATGGAGGCGCTCTGAAATTCCTGTGGCGGAAATCTATGTGTTCTCTGGAGAACCCACTGAATTTCAATAGACATCTCACCCGTTTGGAGTCACCTCCTACCATTTCTGTGCGGCTTGGAGCGATATTGGATTATCAATGCGACGGGCGCCGTTATACGAGTAATTGTTGCCTGCTCTCTATTCAGACGACGGTGAGCATAGATCGGTACACAAATGATGACTCCCTTACCGGCAGACAGAGTAGAAGTGGGTTGGTTCCCCTTCGAGTGCATGGGAGTGGATTAGTTTGGACCTTTTGGGACCAAACGCGGACGTTCACAAGAATAGCTCTATGGTTGAATCTTTAACCCTCTGAAGACTAGAGCTGGTCATTTGGAAATAGCAGGCAACCTGTCGACAGATTCATTCCTACAATGTTTGCTACGCTTCGTTGGTAGATGTGGCAAGCCCACCGGTACCTACAGTGATAATGGTACACAATTTGTTGGCGCGCTAACGCAATTTCGGGATGATACAACGCGGTGGAGTCCAAGTAAAGTATCAGACCGGTTTTCGACTATAGGTATACACTGGCACTTCAGTCCACGAGCAGCTAGTCATCGTGGTGGTGTGTTGGAGCGTATAATGAGGTCGGTACGACGTATCCTTTTATGTCTATGTAGGGAAAATTTTTTGACTGATGAAAAACTGAACACGCTTCTTATACAGGCGGAACGGATTTTAAATAATCGACCTATAGTCCCGCTATCATTAGACTCAAACGATTTGGAGCCACTTACTAGAAACAATTTGTTGCTCATGCGGTGGTCTCTTGCGGTACCTGGTCACGACGGTTTGCGCTCACAAGATCATGCCGTTTGGAAACAGGTCAATTAACTTGCTGGCGTATTCTGGCGTCGTTCGATGAGGTAATATCTACCAACGACGTAGGTGCATACGAAGTAGCTCAGAGCAACCCGAGGATTGAAACGAGGAGACTTGGTTCTTGTCTCTGGTGGGGACGTGCCTCGTGAGAAATGGCCTCTGGAGTTAGTGGGTATTTGTGAGGCAAGCCCAGATGGCTTAGTAAGAACCCCGCATGTTAAAACGGCTGGCGGCGTTCTTAAAAGAGATATCAGAAGAATGTGTTTACTGGAGGGACGCGATTAGGCTTGTGCTTCATCGAACTCTGCTCTTGTGGCAGGAGAGGACCCGGACCATTCATGTCGGTGGCTGAGGGGGTATCTTAGAATGGAGCTGAGCGTAGGTAGAAGGCAAGAACCGGGGCACCCGCTGAGTCAACGTGAATTTCTCTTACACTCCTAGTACCGCATAGAAACCCAGTTCCGACTTTGTTATGCCAAACCGGAGTTTCCGTTATAACCATCACTCCAAGATACGGTTCGCTCATTACACCTGGAATCCTCTGATTTAAGGAACGTTGATCTTTGTAAAAACGAAATCTATATAATGTTATCAGTATAACACCTTGACGTGGCCTACCGAACTTGACATTGTGTGACGTCCGAACGTCGTAGCTTCTCTTCCACCATTCGTTGGATGCGTCAGCCACGGGAAGCAATGCGCTTATTAAATCCGTTCTCAATTTGGCCTCCTTTTGAACAGCTGTGTGCCAAGCTTATCAAAACTTACTTTTTCATTTGGGAAAGTAACACATGTTGTCCCACCTTGGCCAGTGTAATAGATGAAAACGTTTTCTCCAGGACCGCTGCAAGTCAACGGGAAAATTAAGTGGCCTTGAATGGTATATAATCTGGTGGCGCTCTCGCACATAGTAGAGCACAGCAAAGAAACCGTGTGATTGGGATAGCAGTTCTAATAATCCCCGAATATATGTGCTTAGACATAATTTTCAGAAGATGGGTTGCAATGTACGCGGCCTTGTTTAATTGGTGATGAAGGAAATCAGAAGGGTATTAAACGTTCCACAGTTCATTTCTGTCCATTGTATAAGACTATGGTGTGTAGAAAAAATACATTCAACTTTGGGTTATTTATCCGTACAATTCCTGTGCGGCTTATCTGTAGAGCACCTTACTCATGAAGTAAACGGATAACGAACACGCGGATCAGAGTGTTGCTTGGTACACGCTACTGGCTATAATCAGCACCTAATTTGAATTCGATTAGTGTGCTATTTGCATGGCCACATTAATATGGGAATGAAAATTGGATTTTTCGGACGCCTGTTGATTTGCTGTTGTTTCACGTGATATAGCAGCTCTTTCGACTTTTCCTAAATGAAGGCGGTTGGAGCCAGTATTCCAATTTAGTTAGTTTTATCATTTGTCATTCGAACGGTGACACTCTGCTCTTCCCAAATCACGCTCTCGGCAGCATAAATAAATTTGTTAATGAAAATATCCTCATGTTGTATTCACTACAGAGAAACAACATTGTAACCAAGGTAAGACGAACCTACTTTTTGAATAGGGACTTTCACAAAGCCATATGCTCAGCTGCTTTCTGATCCTGGTGATCGGTTTGCAAATGTTCCGTCATTAACTGAAGTGACATTATGAGTGAAAGATTGGGTCGGCAGTTCTTCCATATCTGCCTGATATTGTTCATTGATCTAGAGAGTGCTCATCCGTCTGCTGCATTCCCAGAATATGCCAACAACACATTCTGTCTGAAAATGTAGTTGCTGCATATGGTCCGCATTCCCTGACCTCAAGTGTTTTCTCTCAGCATCATTTGTTCATGATCTGATCGATCGGTTGCTGATTACTCTTGTATAACGGTTTCCTTCCTTCATTTGATTGGCTCTCAGTCCGACTTCTGAGTTTGGTTTTTCTTTTCCTTTGGTTCGTTCTGATTTCCTGTTGTGTTGTAGCCTGATTAATCGGAGTTTGTTCGAATGAAGGCTCTTTCCGTTGATAACACTGTTTGCGTCTTGCAAGGAACATTGTCACCCTTGATTACCCGTCTTTCTCTATTGCAAGAAACTGCTTGCGGGATTGAAATCTCTGAATCGGTTAATACGCACAAGAATTGCGCCGCCATTCAGAGTCCACATAGTGTATAACTGACCGAATGAGAGATTTACGATTTGCAAGGGGATGAAAGTTTTCCTGGTTTCCTGCAAGGTATCTGACAGACGAAATTTGACGTTACCAATCCGCATGGAACCCAGGGTGAGACAGGCATTCTAAATGCTCAGAGTGTTACCAGTGAAGGGCTATACGCATTTGAAAGAGTACTATTCAGCCAATCGACAGCACCGCAGATTGACTTCGGATTGATTTCTGAATAATTTCGAAACTATTTTGAAAGTAGCGGTTGATGCCTACGGAATAATAATAACCCGTGGTCTGGAAGTAATAAACCAGGTTTCTCTTGGAGTACAGCATATCTTTTCGACTGCCTTCTGGGAGGTTTACCTAAAGAGATTATGCGCCACATGACTAACGAGAATATTAACCACGCGTTACGCAAATTCGAAAACGCTGATCTGGGAGGTTACCTAAAGAGATTATGCGCCACATGACTAACGAGAATATTAACCACGCGTTTCGCAAATTCGAAAACGCTGAATT